GTGTGTGTGTGTGTGTGTGTGTGTGTGTGTGTGTGTGTGTGTGTGTGTGTGTGTGTGTGTGTGTGTGTGTGTGTGTGTGTGTGTGTGTGTGTGTGTGTGTGTGTGTGTGTGTGTGGATGAAGAGAGTTGTTTTGGTAGATGTCTTGTCTACTATGTTCAGTGTCTGTGTGTGTAGATGAAGAGAGTTGTGTTGGTAGATGCCCTGTCTACTATGATCAGTGTCTGTGTGTGTAGATGAAGAGAGTTGTGTTGGTAGATGTCTTGTCTACTATGTTCAGTGTATGTGTGTGTGTGTGTAGATGAAGAGAGTTGTTTTGGTAGATGTCCTGTCTACTATGTTCAGTGTGTGTGTGTGTAGATGAAGAGAGTTGTGTTGGTAGATGTCTTGTCTACTATGTTCAGTGTGTGTGTGTGTAGATGAAGACACATGTGTTGGTAGATGTCTTGTCTACTATGTTCAGTGTATGTGTGTAGACGAAGAGAGTTGTGTTGGTAGATGTCTTGTCTACTATGTTCAGTGTGTGTGTGTGTAGATGAAGACACATGTGTTGGTAGATGTCTTGTCTACTATGTTCACTGTATGTGTGTAAACGAAGAGAGTTGTGTTGGTAGATGTCCTGTCTACTATGTTCAGTGTATGTGTGTAGACGAAGAGAGTTGTGTTGGTAGATGTCTTGTCTACTATGTTCAGTGTATGTGTGTAGACGAAGAGAGTTGTGTTGGTAGATGTCCTGTCTACTATGTTCAGTGTGTGTGTGTGTAGATGAAGACACATGTGTTGGTAGATGCCCTGTCTACTATGTTCAGTGTCTGTGTCTGTGTAGACGAAGAGAGTTGTGTTGGTAGATGTCCTGTCTACTATGTTCAGTGTGTGTGTGTGTAGATGAAGACACATGTGTTGGTAGATGTCTTGTCTACTATGTTCAGTGTATGTGTGTAGACGAAGAGAGATGTGTTGGTAGATGTCTTGTCCACTATGTTCAGTGTCTGTGTGTGTAGATGAAGAGAGTTAGTTGTGTTGGTAGATGTCTTACCCACTATGTTCACTGTATGTGTGTGTGTAGATGACGATACATATGTTGGTAGATGTCCTGTCCATAATGTTCACTGTGTGTGTGTGTGTGTGTGTGTGTGTGTGTGTGTGTGTGTGTGTGTGTGTGTGTGTGTGTGTGTGTGTGTGTGTGTGTGGATGAAAACACATATGTTGGTAGATGTCCTGTCCATAATGTTCAGTGTGTGTGTGTGTGTGTGTGTGTGTGTGTGTGTGTGTGTGTGTGTGTGTGTGTGTGTGTGTGTGTGTGTGTGTGTGTGTGTGTGTGTGTGTGTGTGTGTGTGTGTGTAGATGACGATACATATGTTGGTAGATGTCCTGTCCATAATGTTCAGTGTGTGTGTGTGTGTGTGTGTGTGTGTGTGTGTGTGTGGATGAAAACACATATGTTGGTAGATGTCCTGTCAACTATGTTCAGAATATGTGTGTGTAGATGAAGAGAGTTGTGTTGGTAGATGTCTTGTCCACTATGTTCACTGTATGTGTGTGTGTGTGTGTGTGTGTGTAGATGAAGACACATGTGTTGGTAGATGTCCTGTCCACTATGTTCACTGTATGTGTGTGTGTAGATGAAGACACATGTGTTGGTAGATGTCCTGTCTACTATGTTCAGTGTCTGTGTGTAGATGAAGAGAGATGTGTTGGTAGATGTCTTGTCCACTATGTTCACTGTATGTGTGTGTGTGTAGATGAAGTGACATGTGATGGTAGATGTCTTGTCCACTATGTTCAGTGTCTGTGGGTGTACATGAAGAGACTTTTGTTGGCCAAATTTCTTGTCCACTATGTTGAGTGTATATGTGTGTGTAGATGAAGAGAGTTGTGTTGTTCGAATTCCTGTCTAAATGTTCAGTATATATGTGTGTGTGTAGATGAAGAGAGTTGTTTTGATCGAATTCCTGTCCATAATGTTCAGTGTTTGTGTATGTGTGTGTGTGTGTGTGTGTGTGTGTAGATGAAGAGAGTTGTGATGGTAGATGTCTTGTCCACTATGCTCAGTGTCTGTGTGTGTAGATGAAGAGACATGTGTTGGTAGATGTCCTGTCTACTATGTTCCGTAGATGTGTGTGTGTCTGTAGGCGAAGATACTTGTGCTGTTAGATGTCCGGTTCACTATGTTCAGTGTGTGTGTGTGTGTGTGTGTGTGTGTGTGTGTGTGTGTGTGTGTGTGTGTGTGTGTGTGTGTGTGTGTGTGTGTGTGTGTGTGTGTGTGTGTGTGTGTGTGTGTGTGTGTGTGTGTGTGTGTGTGTGTGTGTAGATGAAGACACATGTGTTGGTGAGATGACATGTCCACTATGTTCAGCATCAGTGTGTGCAATTGTTGGGAGATGTGTTGGTAGATGTCCTGTCCACTATGTTCAGTATACGTGCGTGTCGATGAAGATAATTGAATTCCGTCGATGCTTGTGGTTTGAGTCTTGCGGCCTGGTTAATGCCGGGTAAAACCCCACAACTACACCAATGAAAGGTGATGTGTTGCAGATTAATCACCAATTGCCGAGCAGACTGATGATATCCCAGGGGAAACTCGACCTTGATGACTGACTGTACCTTCCCGCACCGAAACAAGATAGCCGGAATATCCGCCACCGGTGTCATTAGACGCACCTGCCACCTGGGCGTTCAGCTTCCGGTTGCCGTGGTGATTGGTCTCTGAGGGCCTTGGATTCAGACAAGAGAGGATACCGTGCTGCTCTGTGATAGCTGTGATAGCTAGTACTTGGACACTCTTTGACGACAGGAAGGAAGCAAGACTTTACAGATCGTGTTTTAAGGACGAATATATGGTCTGTGACTCTACTGACCTATTCCCAATAAAAGTAGGGGCGGGTTGTCAATAGCTATAATTGGTTGAAGCGTTGGCTCGCCACGTAGAAGACTGGGTTCGATTCCCCACATGGGCCTGATGTTTGAAGTCCAATATATATTTGCGCCCATCTCCTAACTCTGCCTAGAATATTGATGAAGCGGCATAAAACTTCACTCAATCATTTATTTTACAACATATTCAGTTCAAGAGATAGACTTCATTGAGGTTTCCACAAAGAAAAGTTTAATGATATATTAACTCTGTTGCATTTGTGTGTGTGTATGTGTGTGTGTGTCGATGGATGGATTCATTCATTCATTCATTCATTCATTCATTCATTCATTCACTACGAAACAATTAAACAATGCATGACTTGTTGTTTTCCGTCTTATATATTTCGCTGCGGCCTCTCCACTGACACAGACACAGCGAGTACCTTAGGTTGACTTACACACGTTAACACTACATCAGCATAACCAGAAAATTCATCGAAACGATTCAGAGAAAACAGTCGCACGGAAAAAGTCGAGTACGTATCCCGCTAATGATAAAAAGCATGCTATCTCGTCGATCAGAACCAGCCCTCTGTGTGATAGGCTTTGCAAAAGCTACACAGCCCAATACTACATAAACGAAAGGAAATAAACACTCAGCTGGAGTAGCATTGGTCGACAACTGGCCCTGATTAACTGAAGTTGTGTTTCCTATAGTTAACACGTATCACTGCCAGGCCCTGTAATTACTGTAATAGAATCTACCTATATTAAAAACTAGGCCTCGTTCATTATACATTAGGCCAAACGCCCTGATGCAGAGCCGAACAATACTCTTAAAGTTACATAATTCTCTCTATTGATTATATACTTCACAATTGGGACAGCCGATCTTTTATCATTTGCATTCTAAACACTTCTACATCAACTTCTATCGGTCCTCTCAAAATGTATTGTTCCGGTTCGTTCAAGTGTCTAGCGGTCCTTAATTTCAGGTAAACATTGAACAATGCCCGGCATACATTACCTGATTGACCAACACTGAGTTAATTGACTCGTACTAGTTGCCAAACAACTGTCATTATGTTGAAGTATTTTACATTCAGCCGTCTCTTGATCACCCATGCTTTGAGCAATTATTCGCCATGATTCTGCGTAATGGACTTGTCATATATTTCAGGGGCTCTCAGATTTAACAGTAAACTATTTTCCCAATCACCCTCACTGCTAATATAGAGGGTGTTTAGTGACGTAGCATGACACCGTTTCTACGTCTTGATATTTTGATAGAATCAGGATAATCAGCAATACGATAGGCGGCATTACTCGGTATTATTAGCAGCTCTATCCGACATCGATATGGCAACGGTGAAAAACCTATAAAAAATACTACCATCATGATATCTCTGATTTCATTGATTTAATTTCAGTGGTATGATCTGTTGAGATAAAAGTCGATCCAAATTATATTCATGTATCCCATTAGCGGTTCGACTTCAAGCGTATTCTGGGGGCTCTTGTAGATATATTTCCCCCCCACCCCCTATGCACACATCAATTACTGTGTCCATCTAGGACAATGCTTTTCCCGACTCATCTCCCGTTTCCGGAGATATCGGGTCCCACTGTGCTTCTGAAACCGGGTTTCCTATTATCTTCACTCCTCCCAGACAAGCATCTCTCGGTGCCATGTTAGTATTGTACTCTACAAAGATTATGGTGAATTCTATTTGATTACGCCGGTTTTTGGTTAAAAAAGGATGCTGATAAGGTTTATAATTAGAGATAACGGTTGTGATCTTCAGAGCAAAAGCTGAAAAGAGTAATCGGTATCTAATGAGTCTGCATATTCACTTTTTCGCTATTTTCTTCAACAATTACCTCTTCGCATCAGGTCTCTTGTATTCAGCGGACAGACTTCTCACTGCGGTAATGTAGAGTATCTGAATTGCATCTTAACGTTCTATTGTATTTAATCTGTTATTCAATACCTCGCTTGATGATCGATCATAAGAGTCATTAGCAGTGTATAACAATAATCTAACGTAACAGCTCAAAGCGTGAATCACACACCCAACAGCTGTTGGATCGATCGTCAAAAAGAGAAGGCTGCGCGAGTTGGAATAGAATTACTCCCTCGGACAAAGGTTGGCATCGGGAAATGGTGGTGTGGAAAGCAAGTAGCGTTGTTGTGGGCTTCTGAGGACCACATGCTGTAGCAGACGACACTCAGGCTCGGCAGCAGACGACTCAAACAAGTTGGAGGGAAGAATTATTGGAGACTGGTTGGACGTTCGGAGATCGGAGGCTTGAGAGCAAACATATCGAGGCAAATTGAATGAAGCTTGGCCGAGCTCGTCCAATTATGACCCGAGATAAGTAGATCTATCTGAGGGAACTCAAATATTGTCCTGTTCAGCTGTATCGCGACATGCGGTGCTGCAGAGATTGAATGAATACCAAACTAAAAGTTCTCATAGCGGTTATAGAGTTTGACCGGAGGTTTTGTTCACAGGAGGAGAGGATGTTACGTCAAAAGTCTGATTGTTTTGTTCGTGGTGTAGATATGGATTGAAGCCAGGGGCTTTGGTAGCGAGGAACTATCTGCGAGTGAGAGTCTACCTGAACCTGTACGAGAGGTTCCCGCCATGTGTGTTTGTCGTCTGCTCAAGACTGAAAGAAGCGGCAGGCGAGAGGGTTGTACAAACAGAACGGAGGGAGAATAGTTGGCTATTCACTTGTCGCATGGAAGTATTACATGTGTTGTAAATCCTTTCTTGTCATCATTCACCGTTTTTTTGAGTAATTTATCGTAGATAAACAACTTCAAGACACCATAACGAGTTGTTCACAGTTAAAATTCACGAAGGTAAAGAGAAGAGATTGACTGGAACCCAGTTCTTATATTCACGCAGAACCGTCCGGGGAGGGTTTCAACAGTTTGACAACCCCAGACTTGGAATCCATTTCATTTTTTGCATTTCAAAAGTAAAAGTTGCTGCTTTGAACTTCAGTCTGTTACCACCGCTCGACAGAGAAAGACGTCACTTGAACCCTGCCTACAAAACGTATGTATAATTACGATTTTGACATATGTCTTACAGACTTTCGAACTGTTTTAAGATTTGAAGACAAATGCTTATTCACTTCGCCAGTAGGATCATTTCCTAATTTAATGCTTGAACAAAATTGAAACGATGGAAGATATTTGACATAGTATTAGTTACAACTTGTGTACACATCTGTCTGGAACCAACTGAGGATGTATTGATATATCATATTCATCTTTCTTCATCTCGTCATATCGTCTGAGGAAAATTACATCTTGAGGGGAGATCAGGGAGGGCGAGAATACTGTGTATTGATGGGAACAGTAATTTGACAGATGCTTCTCAGCTGATGTCAACAAATTGACAAATAACGTTCACGAGCTCGAAAAACCAGGATACGTGTGCACGAGCGAGGGATATTTGGGGCATGCCAATTTGTAGCAGGGTCCAAATGGATATCAGAAAGCTCAATTGATCTGACTTTTGTGACAATCTGTCAACAGTTTGACGATAAGTTCATTCCTCAGTGTCAAATAAAACCGTATTTGAAAATAACGCGTGAACGACTACAAGAGAATTTGTGAAATCGGGAAATTGCATTTGAACTTCAATAACGGGTTTTGAGAAATGCTTGAAATTAGGTTCAGTTTTAATACAACTCACTGATCAATTTTCTTAGCAGTGTTATCGCCCTTAGTGAGAGTTTTCCTCTGTTACAGCACCCGAGAGCAGCGTCATTCTTCTTTCTGGGCAACAAACGCAGCTAATTAATTGAAAGGAAAAAATAAATTTCAAGTTGTGAGTAAAACTGTCTATTTGAAGATTAGGGCTGATGAAGCAATGAAGAACGTTCCGTATCCGGCATCTTCAAAGTTGACGGAACATTAAAAGAAACCCAAGGAACCATTCCAGTAAAGGCCTCGTCTACTATAAGAGGGCGGAGAAATCAATCAATTGGAATCATTCCTTCGATGCCTTCCCGATCCTACGCCGGGAGGATGCCTGGTCAGTATTCTCATGTCCACAATGGTCAACCGGTGACCAGAAACTATCGACAGCTGCGGTTGTGTGAGGTTGCAAATATGGTGATGAAAGCTGAGATTAAGACCATAGAGTTCTGGAGAGCCGTCATCTCGGAGTGTTTAGGCTCCATGTTCTATGTTCTACTCGGGTGCAGCGCCACGTTGTTTTGTGAGAATTTTAGAGACTATAGATACGATATATTGCTGGTGTCGTTTTCATTCGGATTTACAATGGCGACTCTTGTCCAGTGTTTTGGACATATATCAGGTGCCCATTTCAACCCAGTCGTCAGCCTTGCCATGACGATCACGTGCAAAGTGACACCCCTAAGGGGAATATTGTACTGTATTGCCCAGTGTGGGGGCGGAATAGCAGGGGCGGCAGTGTTATATGGGTAAGTAGTATTTGTTTTTGTTATAAACAAACCTATTTTATATAGAAGAAGAGTATAGTGTTCATGGTCCTTCCTCCATACAAAAAGAGTTATACAAGGCTTATCATAGTTTGCAACATATATCCCAATGTTAACACACTTTATCAAAGTTCATACCCGGAATATGAGAAAACATTTGTATTTCTTTAACACGTACAACTGGTTACTGGAGCAGGCCTATTACAAAAGCTTTTTTATTGACCAACGCTAACGGTTTCCAAAACCATTAGGATCAGCTCAAGGTGCTTTTTATGTCGTCACTGAATTCAACAGCTTGTTCAAATCTCCAGTTAATTGGAGAGGACTTAAGTCACTGTTTCAACACATGCGTGAATGAAAGTAGATTTTCTGATTATATATTTAGGGTTAAACATGTGACAGAGAGTAATAGTGTCGTACTGTTCGGGGAATACTCTTTTATATATTATCGATTTCTGTCTATTAGATGTAAGTGCAGTTCAACATGCACTACGCAGGGCTAAATAGTCGAGTCTTGCAACGGGAATTCTCTTTTATGTGTACTGATTTCAGTATAGTGTTATGTAAGTGTAGTTCAATATACTTATATGTACCAAGAACACACGAATCGTAAGTCCATGTCAGGAAACACTCTTTTGATGTCGCTATTGATTTCTATATAGCGTGTCGTATAGCAGAAGGTTTAAGCTTGAGAAGCTACTTCATCATATTATTGCCAGACATGAAAATGACCGTGTTCGAGTTCTTTTCGTGGTTGTCGGTCTGTCAGTTGCAAAATGGAACTGACTCTATATAATTAAGAAAAGAAATACCTTTCCGCGAGTTCAATATACTAACGATGACATGGCGTGGTTTTCTTTCTTGTTGTGTGTTGTTTAACGCCACACTCATTAATAATCCAGCTATACAAGCGGTCTGTATATAATCGAATCTTGACCAGACAACGCGGTGATTGACATAATGACAATTGAGATACTATGCCATGCATCAACCAAGTCAGCGAGCCTGACCACTCGATCCCAGTGTTCGCCTCTTAGTACAAGCATTGGTTTCTGAAGACCAATCTTAACACGGATCTTCACAGGTGGATGTGATGACATATATATGATGTTAAACTTGTCTTGAAGGAACCATATGAATTAAAGGAAGATTATAGTGATTAAGTTTGGTTAAAATGACATCTGAATATTTAAATATTCCACTTATACATTATTGCCTATATTGCCTTCAACAGACTATGTGGGATACAATACCTTTAAGTAGCATTTAGAAGCTGAAGTAACAATGGATACAAGATATCGATTTCTACTTCTTTTATATTCTTTAGATGAGGCATAGATACTGGTACCACAATCAAGCAAGTGATAAGGGTACTAGCATCTGTACCTAAACGTGGCACTGAAAGACAATAAGGAGGTTGAAATCCTGTCTCCACATATTTGATACAGTGCATTATGTATCATTTAACATGTTTGATTCGTGTAACGTTTAAACGTATGATCAACAACATAAACTATACAGGCTCAGTCTGTCTTACAGACCCTGATACAAATATATATCAAATACAGCCCATGCAAGTCTATAAAGTTTGGCAAGTCTAGATTACTGCAGTGTCTGAAAATGAAGAGAGTCACTGGGCTCCCTTATGTTATATTTTTATTAAGATAACTGAACAACTGTTTTTTTTCTGTACGATATGTTCATTTCAGAGACTAGATGTTAGTCTATATACAGACTCTATATGCATTGCCTTCAACGTGATAGATACCATTAAGAAATATAATAGGTTTGGTATTCACACTTTGTCAATAGGACTGAGTACAACACATTACGTTGAGGACTTCTGATTTGTCACCTAATTATAACGTGTCATATCTGTCACAGCCTGTACTAACAACTTCAACAAGTATAAATTCGATCGGCAGTTCTAATGAGCCTTCACAGTCGACACACTGCTCGGCAAACTGAAGGATGCTTGTGTCTATTACCGCCAAGTAATTGGATTAATTACAGTACGAATTAACAATCATCTATCGATTATTGTATAGACACAGTGAGTGCTGACATATTGTTTTTCCCTATTTGTCAGAACTTGAGCAGTAATTGGTCACCTGATATCCTGGACTTCGTCATTTGTTCAGCACAACAAGTCTCATGTGTGTTGTCGTTGTCGCCTCCGTGGCGGGGTTCAAATGTACATGTTGATGGTCGCGGAGCCTAAACCTGACCCATTTACACCATCACGCTCTCGTTGCCTGTATCCCAACGAGACAAATTACTGCAGTGGGAAGGTGACAGGACTGTGCGCATATATTTGTTAGATATATGGATAACGTGGGGCTGGAATGCCTCCTCGTCCAAGACAATGCGACCAGACGGATTATTAATGTGGCCTCCATTATCAGCGATGGTAATGAGACTGTATAGTCATGACGCGCAGACTTTCAACACGTTGAAATATGATCAATCATGAAATTCCAAAAGAGTTCGTTCAGAAGGACTTCATTATACACTCTCATTTGTTTCACGATGGAATGTGAGTAAAGTTTCTGATTTTGGCGCTGATAATGTACTTCCCAACGATGATGACTAAGTGGAGACTGTTATAAGTTAACGAACTAATTATTTTGGAGAATGTACCTTATAATATGAATACATGATACTTGTCTATGGATAACAACTTCTTTTATTCTTAAACTTAGTATAAAGAATAAAAGAAGTTGTTATCCATAAAAAAGTGTCATGTATTCATGTTCTCCCAACTTCTAAATGCCTATCAAAGACTACCTTATACTTATAACGACGATGAAGTGGAGAATAGTTCTGTTGATGTATGGAAAACAGTCACATGAACAATAACAATAATAATACTATCGACGAGGATGAAGATGATGATAATAAAAAAATATTAACTTTTATAAAAACGATAATCTACGATATAATGATCGGTATAGCGTTGATGATAATGATAAGTGTCACATGAACAATAACAATAATAATACTATCGACGAGGATGAAGATGATGATAATAAAAAAATAATACCTTATATAATAACGATAATCTACGATATAATGATCGGTATAGCGTTGATGAAAATGATAAGTGTCATTACGGCTTGAACCCATACACGTCATATGGAGGGCTGCAGCTATCTGACAAATAAGATAAACGAAAGACAACAGTTACTGACACGCTGTCCATGGTTACTCTTGGCAAAACTTCAATTTTATAACCAAATTCTGTAATAATTGCGCCTACATAACCCCGAGAACCATACAAGGCTTGATGGATGAGGCCTCTGAGTTGGGTTATCAGATTTTGCCGTCGTAACCAACTGAGAATGTAAATGGCAGCAATTTCGACAAAATATTGCATAATGTACGTTGATATATTTGGTCTGATGCCACAATAAATCCTGAAGAGACATCTTAAAATACAATAATCGCGAACAACTAATGTAAATAGGGGCATTACTCTGAGTTCCCTATGGGTCTGACGACAGAGATAAGACCCCGATCGCTGAGTTTCGTTATAGGAATTCCTATGTAATTACCAAGTATGCTAGAACTTCACATTTTCCTATACATCACAACGAAACGAGAGGTTCAAATTAATTTGAACAGCTGACTTTTTAGTTATCTATTTCAAAACTAGTCATGTCGTCAATAACCTATCAATTTTAGTTGCAAGGACCCAGAGAGATCCGAAATTCCCGTTGGCTCTGTATTGCAGTGTTAATTCAAACTGACGTCTATGTAGGTCGCTTCTGTATGTATTAGCTTAATGGACACGTAATTGATAAGATAACAATCGGCGCTGAGTCAGGCGGTGTCAATTAGATACACGGAACATGTGAAATCTACAACAGTTCGTCACGTGTAAATGTCACGTTTAACTGCGAGAGACTCCATGGTTAGGCTCAGGTGCTCAGCACGTGAAAGTCGAGCAATACCAAAGTACATTAATGAAATTGGCCTGCCGGCTATCTGTTTCTCACAATTGCAAAACAATGTTCGCTCTAAATAGGGTTGGGGGTCACTTGAAATGCAATTCGGGTCAGATAAATTGCCAGATGTCCTTGGTATCGAGTTTATGTCCTTGATGATTTAAAACTGGATTGAGCAACACAACATCATTTTTTTTATTTTAAAGTATCGAAAATGGAACCTTAATGTTTCCAAGATTTACAGAACGTAAATTATTCGTTATACATATTCCATGTATTGACGATCACAGAGAATGATTTTAATTCGTTGAATTGCGTTTTAATGTATATACATCGAACAGTTCACACGCACGCACCCTGGCGTCTCGTTGTGTGTCATGATACTGAGTGAAAGGGTTGGCGTGATGGTGTGAACACATTTTCTGTGCTTGAGCCGATTAGCGACGGGTTGCATCTATTGCTGAGTGGGCTCACTTCCGAGGCACCGTTATTCCATTAGGGATGCATCTTAATTGATATAAACTGATGCGTTAAGATCTTAACTGATATACATCGACTGCGTGATACATTAGCACCTTCACTGATAAATACATCGATACGTTCCCAGTGATGCACGATCTCTTGATTCTTGCGTTCTGTGAGGTCTGTTGGGTGTAATTGTGCAATATATATGTGTATAGACATACACAAGACACTGTAATAAACTATTATTATTAAATGTAAAGGGATGATTTTGTGTAATGTATAATCATCTGAACACCTGTTAACTCCACACTCAACAACCAGTGATTGTTATGGAGTGAGTGACCAGTAAGTCCCCGAACCTGAGCGCCTGATCCATTTTGTCGTCTTGTACAGTAAGAGGTGAAGTGAGGTGAAATGGGGTTAAACGTCGCGTCCTAGATTATTGCACTTATATAGCGACGTGCATGCACGCGTATGTGTGTGTGGCTGCTTGTACTAGTCCGGACTGATGCCGATTTATAGTGCTAGCTTATTGAGATACCATGCCGCAGTTTAACATGAATACCCCAC